GCACTTATTTGTATGATTAACTTGATTCACGCAGCTCTTGATAAAAAAAGAGTTCCCTGTTGGGTTATTTGTGGACCTGCGTAAGGCTTTTGACACTGTCAACCACCAAAACCTTCTTCTTAAATTACATCATTATGGAGTCTGAGGACACTCCCTGCAATACCTCAAATCTTACCTTACTGACAGGCTCCAGTATGTTTCTGTGAATAATACAATTTCTCCCACCCTACCTATCAACAATGGTGTTCCTCAGGGCAGCATACTTGGCCCTCTCCTCTTTCTCATCTACATTAATGACCTTCCAAATGCCTCCCAACACCTCAAACCAATTCTATTTGCTGACGACACAAAAACCAACCACCAAAACCTTCTTCTTAAATTACATCATTATGGAGTCAGAGGACACTCCCTGCAATACCTCAAATCTTACCTTACTGACAGGCTCCAGTATGTTTCTGTGAATAATACAATTTCTCCCACCCTACCTATCAACATTGGTGTTCCTCAGGGCAGCATACTTGGCCCTCTCCTCTTTCTCATCTACATTAATGACCTTCCAAATGCCTCCCAACACCTCAAACCAATTCTATTTGCTGACGACACAACCTTCATTTACTCCAGTCCTGACCCCCTTGCTCTAAATGTCACAGTAAATACTGAGCTAAAGAAAGTCCATCTTTGGCTAACTGCCAACAAACTCACCCTTAACATTGACAAAACGTTCTATATTCTGTTTGGCAATAAATCCTCTAATCAAATAAATCTCAAAATAAACAATACCCAAATTTGTAACAAATTAGATGGCAAATTCCTTGGCGTTCTCATCGACCACAAGCTGAATTTCCAGGGACACATTCTAAATATATCAAAAAAAAAGTTTCAAAAACTGTTGGCATTCTTTCTAAGATCAGATATTATGTACCCCGCCCTGCCCTGGTGACTCTCTATTACTCCCTCATCTATCCATATCTCAACTATGGTATTTGTGCTTTTGGTTCTACTACCCAAAATCATTTACGTCCTCTAATTACTCAACACAAAGCTGCTATTAGGACAATATCCAACTCTGGCCCCAGACATCACTCGGTACCCCTACTCAAATCTCTGAATATGTTAGATATTAAGTCACTGCACATTCTCTCATGTGTATTATACATATATAAAACGCTGAACTGTAATGCCAATCCTGACCTCAAAAGATTCATTGAAGGTTGTAACAGAACCCATGAGCACCATACCAGAAGTAAATACAGTTTTGATATTCCTAGAGTACGACTTAATCAAACTAGAAATGCTCTTCAAATCAAGGGACCCAGAATGTGGAATGGCCTTCCCAACCATGTTAAAGACTGTACCTCTCTCAACCAGTTTAAGATAAAAACGAAGCACTACCTAATAAATTCCCTGTAACCTACCTTACCCCTCTGTTGTCAACCCATGTCTGTTTTTTTTCAAAACAACGCTGTTTGAATGTAATTGTCTGTAATAATTTGTAATTGTATTTGTGCTGCTTTTTCAGCCATGTTCCCCCCCTCTTTTACCTCTATTTTTATTTGTTCTCAACACATTTTATTCTTTATACCCATTAGTATTAAGCTTTAGTCATTAATGTTTTTCCTGTCCGAAACGCTTTGCGTAATAGTGGCCTTAGGCATTGTATGCACTAGCTCTATCTATTAATCCAACAAACTTTGTAAAATCTCTTGTATGTATGTACCTTACCTAAATAAACATTTATTTATTTATTTATTTGCATTTTCGAGGAACGAGGTAGTTGAATGTATGTGTGATATTTCCGTAGATTATATTATTACTTTATCCTTGCACATCTAAATCTGATACGAGAGAAATCACAGAAGTCGATAAAAGACTAACGTATATGAATATACTCTGGCTTTCTGTCCCCTGGCACAATTAATTATATAGTCTAGGGTAGCTGCATAAATGCGAGTGTACCTAAATGTATTGATATAACAAATCCTTATTTCAGATTTATTATAACATTAGTATTATTAGTCACTGAAATTTATCGTATTTTTCACTAAATTCGCACCAGCATTGGCCCTTAACATTGTTAATTTAAGTCTACACTATATAACCCATAAAATCGTTTAATGAATAATTATTGAGTTAGCTAAGGCATTTGCCGTCAAAGAAAAAATTGTAGTATTGGATTGCCTAGAAACAGCCGGAGGAAAATATTATAACAAGAACTTTATTAATTTTTGTTTTAAATTTGAGATAAAAAGAGAAAATCTAGACTAAGTATCCCAAGACTTGGTACACAGCCATGACTCGTCCAGTAACGTCAGTAGACTACTGCTGCTCGGTTTACACACAGGTAACCTAATATTTGGATGTACCATCTGTGGGTGTAAACCTGACCAAATCTAAACTGTCAGAAACTACTCACACATAAAGACCATAATGTGATGAAATGTAAACAAATCCAAGTATTTAGACAATTGTATTACTAATAATCAAGAAATGTATTATATTTGTATAATATTTTTAGGGTTCCCGCGGTACAGTCTGGTTCCTTCTCGACGCATTATCGAGAATTCCGGGTTCGAATCCGGGCGGGACAGAATTGGTTGGGCACATTTTTCTTTCCCCTAATGCCTCTATTCACCTAGCAGTAAGTAGGTACTCAGTTCTTCTTCACGGTACGTGCAGTTGTTGCGAGACGCAGCACTCACAGTGGGACTAGCAGAGAGTGGAAGTTATTGATGTCTTCTATTGGTGTGAGGATAATGAGAAAATAAACATATGAGGGAAAATGGACTCAGTATGGCAAATATGAGTTGTGTTAATGGTGGTATTAAAGTGTTGCTGTTTTATGGAAAGTGTGACGTTTAGTTAAGAGACTTGAGTTTGTGAGTCGAAGTATATATATATATATATATATATATATATATATATATATATATATATATATATATATATATATATATATATGTCGTACCTAGTAGCCAGAACGCACTTCTGAGCCTACTATGCAAGGCCCGATTTGCCTAATAAGCCAAGTTTTCCTGAATTAATATATTTTCTCTAATTTTTTTCTTATGAAATGATAAAGCTACCCTTTTCATTATGTATGAGGTCAATTTTTGTTATTGAAATTAAAATTAACGTAGATATATGACCGAACCTAACCAACCCTACCTAACCTAACCTAACCTATCTCTATAAGTTAGGTTCGGTTAGGCAGACGAAAAAGTTAGGTTAGGTAGTCGAAAAACAATTATTTCATGAAAACTTGGCTTATTAGGCAAATCGGGCCTTGCATAGTAGGCTGAGAAGTGTGTTCTGGCTACTAGGTACGACATATATATATATATATATATATATATATATATATATATATATATATATATATATATATATATATATACAAGTTACATTGGGTTTATGAGAGTACAGTACATAGCATGACGTGTTTACATTCTTGTAAAGCCACTATGTTTGGGAGTTAGTCGCAATTCAGATAGGTTATGGTAGATTATGATTAGGTTAGAGTACATTAAGTAGCATGGGTGTTAATGTGCATAAGGTTAGGTTAGGTTGGTAGGTTAGTTGAAGATGGGTTATATTATGTAGTCGTATTTCGGCTTGTTACGTCTGAGTTGTGATTGCCTTGGTCTTCTTTGACGTGCCAGGAATACAGCCCGTGTTGAATATCTGGGAGTGGTTGGAGGATGTGTGGTGGGAGAGTGTGGTTTATGTGGTTTTTCAGTCAAGGTGCCAGGTCGCTGGGGTGTTTATACAGCTGGGAATTTCTTACTCCTAGTGCTGATGGTTGGGATTTGTGGCAAGTCATCCTGGGGAGTGATTTGTGTAAGGCGTAGTAAGGAGTTATTTAGCACTTTTTCCAGCATCAGTTAAAATTATTTGTATACAACAATGGTAGCTGTGTTAAGGGGGGTGTCATTGTCTGGATATGTTGATGGGGTGTCTGTCGGGTGAGCCTCGAGGATGGGTTGGTATACGTGTAAAGAATTAGTTAGGAGTTGGTCCTCTCAGGAGTTAGTCAGCTTGTTGTGGGGTTGCATCCTGGGCTGGGTCAGTAATTCGATCTTAGGGGAGGACCTCGATAAAAGCCAAACGTGCATGAATACATTCTGGCCTCCTGTCCACCGACACATTGACTTATTATTATTATTTAAACACATTTTAACAAAGTTGCAATTATTGTCGACTGTTGAAAGTTAATATATTTCCTGAACTGTGTGTGACGTCAACCCTTGCACCACCGTCTAGAGGATTGAAATTATCTTCAGGACATGCGAAATAATCCACAAACTAAGAGCAGAGTTGAGGCAATGTTAGGTTAGAACCCTGTGTGGGGGAAGGGTGGGCGCGGGAGTTGTGTAAACTGTTTGTGAGATCTCTGAAACACATTTCTCGCCCCTCCCTCTCAGTCACCACTCTCCCCATCCCTCTCAGCCACCACTCTCCACACTCCCTCTCTGACTAGTCTGGTGGCATGCCTCGGGTCTGACGTCTGTGTTATTAAAGGTCCTCGGCGACTTTTCAGATTCCTAAAAGCAAATCTAATATTGCATTGGTCTTCGTGATATTGCAATATTGTTTTGCGGGTGTTAATATGCAACAGCTGTGTACTTCTAGTGATAGTTTAAGGAAAATATTAACCCCCGGTTTCTTGTTTCTCTGAGTCAATGTAAGTTTTCACTTCCAGTTGTTATCTTATCTTTAGTTTCCTTAATGCTTGGTACTTACTTCAGTTTAACTCTAGTAATAGTCAGTACTTTATATTCGTGGAATCCTTCACAGTTATGGATCATGACATTTTTGTTTCTTTGATTACTATTACAGGCAGGTTCTCGCGCGTCTGTCTACTCCTCGAGTTCATTATCCTTGTTTGTAGTCCCATCTTTGTTAGCAGACGTGATTTTAAAGTACATTATGTAACTGCAACATTTCTGTCACTGCCCAGAGAATGTGTACGAGATCCATAATAACTAATTAAACAAACTTACCTGAATAGTCGTGAATTGGGGACTCGCTGCCGCCCACCCGAATTCTGGGCGGCATCCTCCCTCGTGTTCTTCGGCCGCCCATATTCTTCTCCCCACCAACACACTCTTCACTTTCCTCAGGACTCTGGGCCGGTTTCTGCCCACTCTCCACGTCTGTACCTTGTTTATTCATTTCCAAGTTCAAAATTTGTGTCCTCTATTGCCTGTCCCGGGAAAACTCCAAATCTGCACCCTGTTATTCTTTCCTGTGGAAATAATAAATTTAAAGCATTCTTTTTTTCAGTCGTAAAATCGAAATCCGGACGTGTGCAGTAATTCACACTTGCGCCCGGCTACAGTATGGTGTCAGTGTCCAGTGTGAGGTCTAGATAGTCCTGTTATTTTTGTTCATGTCATAAACTAGCCGCCGTAACCTCAGCTCCAACACCTTGTGTTAATATCTAGTCAAAGCCGCCTCCAGCAAAAACATTTTGGGATTAATTTACCACTTTTGTCAAAACTAAACATGAATTGTTGTCGACAATCTCTTTCTCTTTAACCACATTGAAAACTAAATCACCGAGTTGGATCAAACTTAATATTCTCAGCACGTTAAATAAAACATGATTTATTCTAAAGCAGCTTGGACTTTCAAATGATAAAACGCAATATACACCAACACTCCAATGACCAGAAATTCATAATATTTAAACTATAATCACTTGGTATTAATGGTATAACTCGGTGTTCGAGGGGTTGAACCAGGCGTGAGACTGCTCACAGTACAGCAGGCGCCCAACAACTGGGAAGCCATCGCCCGCTGCCGGAAGATGCTCTGAGCTCACATTCAATAAACTATCTTGGGACTCAAATACGTCCGTGAATATATTTGATTAGGTATTTATGAAAATTACACCGAATATATGATGGGTAATTTATGCGTGTAGTTATAATGTATATTAGCAGCTCCTACACAATTCAGTACGGCTAATATCGCCATCTCTCTGGATGGTTAGTCATACATGGGAGGTGAGTCTGGCCTGCACTGTGTACGTTAGCCTCCGCCTTTGTTGATACTAAAGTGTCGGCACTTCTTCCTGTGCCCAGATAAACCTTTTCGTTGGCATTTGTTATCGCTTCGAATTTAGTTTCATAATTCCATTATCCTCGGAATTTAGTGATTCAGAGGTTAGAATTCTCAGGGGTGGGAATCATTCACCGTTACACTCAGAGATCACACTAACGTGATGCATCAAATGAACAAATCCACAGATTAAGGCAGTGTCTGGGATGCTCCCGGTCGCAGGTTCGATCCTTGTCACGGCCCTTGTGGATTTGTTCAATCATTCACCATCTTTCAGTGAATAATCTTGTACAATCGACACAACATGGGTTTTATAAAAACAGATCCTGCCTTACAAACCTGCTCACATTTTTGGAAACGGTCACCAGCTACTCGGACAAAAGCTTTCCGGTGAATGTGGTATACATGGACTTTGCTAAAGCTTTTGATAAGGTACCACATGAAAGACTGTCAAGGAAATTACAGGCCCACGGAATAAATGGTAAAATATTAGAATGGATAAAACAATGGTTGAAAGAAAGAAAACAAAGGGTCGTGCTAAATGGGAACGAATCTGAATGGAGAAATGTGATAAGTGGGGTACCACAAGGGTCCATCTTGGGGCCTACTCTTTTTATCATATACATCAATGACATAGATGAAAATATTACAAACCACATTATCAAATTTGCAGACGGCACGAAGATTTATGTTAAAGTGGGAAATGATAATGATATTGAAACCTTACAAAGAGATCTACAAGAACCCCACAAATGAACAGAAGACTTGCAAATGTTTTTAAATATTGGCAAATGCAAGATTCTGCATGTGGGGCATAACAACCCATGCCACGACTATCAAATTAATAGCATTACATTACAGCAGATTATGAGAAAGAGGACATTGGAGTCCAAATCCATCACTCGCTAAACGGGGCACAACAGGTGGGAGCAACATTCAGAAAAGCTAACCAAACCCTTGGAATAATCAAACGTACTTTTGACTTTAAGGAAACGAAGGTAATGATGCAACTGTTTACATCTCTGGTTCGCCCTTATTTAGTCTCACCTGCATGTATCCATTTAGGTTACAGGTTGGCAGGCGTGGCGGGTGAGATTGGCTAGTCTAGTGGGTGAGGGAGAGGTTGGCAGACGTGGCGAGTGAGGTTGGCAGGCCTACCTTACCTTACCTTGAGGTGCTTCCGGGGCTTAGCGTCCCCGCGGCCCGGTCGTCGACCAGGCCTCCTGGTTGCCGGACTGATCAACCAGGCTGTTGGACGCGGCTGCTCGCAGCCTGACGTACGAGTCACAGCCTGGTTGATCAGGTATCCTTTGGAGGTGCTTATCCAGTTCTCTCTTGAACACTGTGAGGGGTCGGCCAGTTATGCCCCTTATGTGTAGTGGAAGCGTGTTGAACAGTCTCGGACCTCTGATGTTGATAGAGTTCTCTCTCAGAGTACCAGTTGCACCTCTGTTTTTCAACGGGGGTATTCTGCACATCCTGCCATGTCTTCTGGTCTCATGTGATGTTATTTCTGTGTGCAGGTTTGGGACCAGCCCCTCTAATATTTTCCACGTGTAAATTATTATGTACCTCTCCCGCCTGCGCTCAAGGGAGTACAGTTTTAGGCTCTTTAGTCGGTCCCAATAGTTTAGATGTTTTACTGAGTGGATTCTAGCGGTAAAGGATCTCTGCACGCTCTCCAGGTCAGACGGGTCAGGTTGTCAACCTCACCTGCCATGCTAGCCGAGCCTGGCGGGTCAGGTTGGCGAGCCTGACGGGTCAGGTTGGCGAGCCTGGTGGGTCAGGTTGGCAGGGCTGGTGGGTAAGATTAGCAGGAATGGTGAGTGAGGTTGACGAGCCTGGCGGGTGAGTTTGGCAGGCGTGGTGGGTGAGATTGGCGAGCCTCGCGGGATAAGGTTGGCCAGCCTGGCGGGATAAGGTTGGCAGGCCTGGCGGGTGAGGTTGGCAAGCCTCACGGGATAAGGTTGGCAGGCCTGGCGGGTGAGGTTGGCAGGCCTGGTGGGTGAGGTTGGCAGGCCTGGCGGGTGAGGTTGGCGAGCCTGGCAGGTGAGGGTTGGCAGGCCTGGCGGGATAAGGTTGGCAGGCCTGGTGGGTGAGGTTGGCAGGCCTGGCGGGATAAGGTTGGCAGGCCTGGCAGGATAAAGTTGGCAGGCCTGGTGGGTGAGGTTGGCGAGTCTGGCAGGCCTGGTGGGTGAGGTTGGCAGGCCTGGCAGGATAAGGTTGGCAGGCCTGGCAGGATAAGGTTGGCAGGCCTGGTGGATAAGGTTGTGAGCCTGGCGGGTGAGGTTGGCCAGCCTGGCCAGTGAGGTTGGCCAGCCTGGCAGGTGAGGTTGGCAGGCCTGGTGGGTGAGATTGGCGAGCCTGGCGGGATAAGGTTGGCAGGCCTGGCGGGTGAGGTTGGCGAGCCTGGCGGGTGAGATTGACGAGCCTGGTGGGTGAGATTGGCAGGCCTGGCGGGATAAGGTTGGCAGGCTTGGCGGGTGAGGGTTGGCAGGCCTCGCGGGATAAGGTTGGCAGGCCTGGCGGGTGAGGTTGGCAGGCCTGGCGGGATAAAGTTGGCAGGCCTGGTGGGATAAGGTTGGTAGGTCTGGCGGGATAAGGTTGGCAGGCCTGGTGGGATAAGGTTGGCAGGCCTGGCGGGATAAGGTTGGTAGGCCTGGCGGGATAAGGTTGGCAGGCCTGGCGGGTGAGGTTGGCAGGCCTGGCGGGTGAGGTTGGCAGGCCTGGTGGGTGAGGTTGGCAGGCCTGGCGGGATAAGGTTGGCAGGCCTGGTGGGTGAGGTTGGCAGGCCTGGCGGGATAAGGTTGGCAGGCCTGGCGGGTGAGGTTGGCAGGCCTGGCAGGATAAGGTTGGCAGGCCTGGTGGGATAAGGTTGGCAGGCCTAGCGGAAAAGGTTGTGAGCCTGGCGGGTCAGGTTGGCCAGCCTGGCGGGTAGTCAACACAAACGTGTGGCGGCCGTTGTGATTACTTCAGTCCGCCGATAACAACATTTTATAACATTTTAAGTATATTGATGGCATTTATGCCTGTTTTTCTTGTCAGTTATTGTGCTGTAGTGACAAATATTTATGCATAGCATACAGGTGCTTCAGTATTACGGTTTAGTATTTCGTTACTTAGATTTTTAACTAGAGATGACCGGGAAAAATATTTACTGTAGCCCTGAATTTTACCCTAGGGCTACAAACACTAATGGCCTCGTTGAGGACAGGAAGCCGGTGGCTTGTCGAATGTCCTCCCCGTTTGGCTTGATGATCTTTTTCCTGTTGGATTGTAAATGTTAAGAGTTTTGGCATAGACGGCTGCAGCGGGTAGGCGGTTCCATGTGTTTATAACCCTGTGGGTGAAAAAGCATCTCCTGTTCTTAGTCCTACATTGTGGCTTGTTGAGCTTGAAACCGTTGCTCCTTGTTTGTATCCATGCAACTCCTTGTTTGCTCCATGCAACAATTAGGTAGCCATATGGATCAACTTAAACGAGCTACTGCCCCTTGTTCTGACTTCAAGCGCTTTGCTGATAACCCTTGGCTCAAGTTATTAACTCAAGTACATGAAGATCAAATGACAGTAATCAAAGAGCAGTCGGCCTTAATAATGAACCTGCAAGGCTCATTATTATCTTTGCAGAATGAAGTTGTAGACTTAAACAAGAACAATCAAGATCTATCTACCACAGTCGTCAACCTCGAACAAGAATTAAACCTTCTCAAGAACACAGTTACAAACTTTAATCCAGATGCAACCACTAAAAAACAGGAAGAAATATTGCAACAGTTTGAGAACCATCTGAACAACCTACAACAACAACACACTGTTACCCAAGACGAGACAGACCAACATAAACTACTTGAATCGGTAATTATCTCTTCACGTGATTTTCCCCAAGAAACTGATGGTGAAGACTGTGCTGCCATTGTGATCAAAGTATTGCAGGATAAGTTAAATTATTCGATCCAAAAAAATGACATCAAAGCAGCTTATAGAGTGGGTACCAAATCATCTGGTACTAATAATAGGCGTATTCGTTTAAAATTAGATAGCTGCTCCCGCAAGACTGATCTTATCTCATCTGCAGTTGCTAGTAAATCCACTGTTTATGTGAATGAATGTCTGACCAGGTGCAGGCAAAATCTCTTTTTTAAACTGCGTGGCTTCTGCAAAAATTCCCCTACAATTAAACACTGTTTTGTGCGAGATGGTAAAATTATAGCTAGGAGGACTGACACTGGAAAAACCTATTCAATAACCACAGAAGCTCACCTTAATTCTTTCCTCAGTGACTGTGGGTTAGCTGCTGTATAGCCTGAATTCAGATTATAATCTCATATAACTACCTTTGTGTACTCTAGCTCTGCCTTTCCCTTCAAAAGGTTTTAACTTTAGTTTAAAAAAGAAAAAAAAAATAATAAAAAGAATAATATTGTCATCTTTATTATTGTCTTTTTTTTCTTTTTACTCCCATGTTCCATAGTACACTGGCTTTGCCTGTGTCCTCTAGTATTAACTTCATTATCCAATGTTCCTGAGTGTATCTCTATTTAAACTACCTCAGTTTGTTTTAGTGTAACTTTAGTATTCAATTATAGTGTACTTATAATAGTATAGTAAGCAAGCTTATTATCTTATAGATTTCATAATTGTTTTTTTTTTTTTTTTTACTTTTTTGGTCATCTATTGTTATTAATTATTCTAGTTAATTTTTTACATTCCTAGTTCCCATTAAGTTTTTTTTTTTTCTTTTTACTTAAAATTACCATTAAGTTTATTTTACTTTAGAATTTTTAATCTGCTTTTTTCTTTGTTTTCTATTTTGTAATTTGCCATTCTTACCTTGTTTTCCTGCAATCAGCCTTTTTATGCAGACAAGTATAGACCCAGAACTAAACCTCTTATCCACTATCTATGACAATCATCACTTCAATGATCAAAATTGCAGATATTTTACAGCAAATGATGTAAACAATGTATTATCAGATAATCTCAATATCTCTGTAATCAACTTGAACGTTAGATCCCTAGGTAAACACTTCGATGATGTTAGTGCCTTGATTGAAACTATTGACAACAAATTCTCTTTTATTATACTTACTGAAACGTGGTTGAAAGAGGATAATACTCAACTCTTTAACATGCCTAACTACTCGGCAATTCACAACTGTCGTCAAATGCAGAGAGGTGGTGGTACTGCTCTTTACTACCACCAAGAACTAACATGCTTAAAAATAATTAGAACTAGAGACTGCTGTGGGGAGTATATTTTTGCCAGTTTCAGAGTCAAGGGTGCCGAGTCTGTCCTGTCTGTGGGTGCAGTCTATAGAATTCCTAACACTGATGTGTCTGAATTCAACTCAAACCTTAGAAATCTAATACTAGATAACAGATTGAACAAAAACCATCTAATTATCGCAGGGGACTTTAATATTGACCTCTGCGAGCCTGAACACCCTACTGCTGTTAGCTTCCTCAACTGTATGAATTCCTGCTTCCTCATACCCTTAATCACTAGACCAACTAGAATCACTGATAGTACTGCTACGACTCTAGATCACATCTGGACCAACATAACCTCTCCGCTTACTTCAGGTATAATCACCGATAGCACTACAGACCATTACCCCACATTTCTCTTAACTAACATTAGCAAACCACCTCTAGAGACAAGGGAGTTAAGCTTTAGGCTGCACAATGAAACTGCTATAAACAATTTTATAACTGCTGCTGATAATGTCAACTGGGAGTCCGAGTTAGGTAACATAGGGGACATCAACCTAGCAGTGAAATCTTTTCTACAAACAACTCTTAGTCTTTATAACACCCACTGTCCTATGCTTACAAAACAAGTCACAAGCAAAAGACTTAACAATCCTTGGCTTACAAAGGGAATACTTAAATCCATTAACAAAAAACACGACCTTGAGAAGAAGTATAGGCTAGGAACAGTCTCCAAAGATTTCTCAAAGAATTACTCGTTATTGCTATCTAAAATAATTAGACGAGCCAAAACTAAATACTATGAAGATAAATTTACCCAAATAAAGAGCAACATTAAAAAAACTTGGAGCACAATTTCACAAATATTGGGATCAAAGAAGATTTTAAATAACAAACCAACACTCCTTTCCAATAACGTTGGTCAGCTTTCAGCCTCTGATTCTGCTATTGAGTTCAATAGGTTCTTCTCTTCCATTGGGTCATCCCTTGCAAATGATATTCCATCTTCCTGTACTGATGTTAAGGACTATCTTACAGGTAACTATCCACAGTCTCTGTACCTAAAGCCTACTAGTTCCACTGATGTCAATGAAATAATCCTTTCCCTTAAAACCAAGTCTAGTGCCCTCGAGGAGATACCAACTTTAATTTACAAAAAAGCCTCCAGATCTCTAGCCCCTGCTATTGCATTGCTCTTCAACAAGTCACTTGAACTCCAAACCTTTCCTGACATTCTAAAAAAAGCAAGAGTAACCCCTGTCTACAAATGTGGTGATCTCACTGATGTTAACAACTATAGACCTATATCAATCCTGCCTAACTTGTCAAAAATATTCGAAAAGCTAATCTACAAGCAGCTTTACTCTTTTCTAGCCAAACACAATATACTTAGCTCTTGTCAATATGGCTTCAGACCCAAAAAAAGCACTAACGATGCACTTATTAGTATGATTAACGTAATTCACGCAGCTCTTGATAAAAAGGAGTTTCCTGTTGGGTTATTTGTGGACCTGCGTAAGGCTTTTGACACTGTCAACCATCAAAACCTTCTTCTTAAATTACATCATTATGGAGTCAGAGGACACTCCCTGCAATACCTCAAATCTTATCTTACTGACAGGCTCCAGTATGTTTCTGTGAATAATACAATTTCTCCCACCCTACCCATCAACATTGGTGTTCCTCAGGGCAGCATACTTGGCCCTCTCCTCTTTCTCATCTACATTAATGACCTTCCAAATGCCTCCCAACACCTCAAACCAATTCTATTTGCTGACGACACAACCTTCATTTACTCCAGTCCTGACCCCCTTGCTCTAAATGCCACAGTAAATACTGAGCTAGAGAAAGTCCATCTTTGGCTAACTGCCAACAAACTCACCCTTAACATTGACAAAACGTTTTATATTCTGTTTGGCAATAAATCCTCTAATCAGATAAATCTCAAAATAAACAATACCCAAATTTGTAACAAATTAGATGGCAAATTCCTTGGCGTTCTCATCGACCACAAGCTGAATTTCCAGGGTCACATTCTAAATATATCAAAAAAAGTTTCAAAAACTGTTGGCATTCTTTCTAAGATCAGATATTATGTACCCCGCCCTGCTCTGGTTACTCTCTATTACTCTCTCATCTATCCATACCTCAACTATGGTATTTGTGCTTGGGGTTCTACTACCCAAAATCATTTACGTCCTCTCATTACCCAACACAAAGCTGCTATTAGGACAATAACCAACTCTGGCCCCAGACATCACTCGGTACCCTTACTCAAATCTCTGAATATGTTAGATATTAAGTCACTGCACATTCTCTCTTGTGTATTATACATATATAAAACGCTGAACTGTAATGCCAATCCTGACCTCAAAAGCTTCATTGAAGGTTGTAACAGAACCCATGAGCACCACACCAGGAATAAATACAGTTTTGATATTCCTAGAGTACGACTTAATCAAACTAGAAATGCTCTACAAATCAAGGGACCCAGAATGTGGAATGACCTTCCCAACCATGTTAAAGACTGTACCTCTCTCAACCAGTTTAAGATAAAAACTAAACAATACCTAATAAATTCCCTGTAACCCACCTCACTCCTTTATTGTCAACCCATGTCTGTTATTTTATTTTATTATTATTATATTTTTTTTTAATCAACACTGTTTGTCAACCTATTGTATTTGTGCTGCTTTTTCAGTCATGTTCCCCCTTTTTTTATCTTTATTTGTATTTGTTTTCAACACTTTTTATTCTTTATGCTCAATTAGTATTAAGTTCTAGATATTAATGTT